CCTTGGGTAAATTCCTAGCAGTGCTATTGCTGGGTCATAGGGGAGTTCTATTGTTAGTTTCCTGAGGAACCTCCACACTGTTTTCCAGAGGGGCTGCACCAGTTTACATTCCCACCAACAGTGTAGGAGGGTGCCCGTTTCTCCACATCCTCGCCAGCATCTAGAGTCCTCTGATTTGCTCATTTTAGCCACTCTGACTGGCGTGAGGTGGTATCTCAGGGTGGTTTTGATTTGTATTTCCCTGATGAGGAGGGATGCTGAGCATCGTTTCATGTGTCTATTGGCCATCGGGATGTCCTCTTTGGAGAAATGTCTGTTCATATCTTCTGCCCATTTCTGGAAGGTCTCATTCTTAATGTGTATGTTGGGGGAAATGGATTTCACAATCATACCCAAAGATATCTATCTACAAACCTCAGATTAAAATGAGAAATACCCACATAATTGTTTTATATATTCTCTGCCTTCATCTGAATTTAGTGTTTTGGGGAAATGATGACCTTCTTTCTCCATTTATTGAGTGTTCCGATATAGGAGCAACCATAAAAGAGTTTTATGTCATAAAATTGATTACATTTTGGTAACCGTGGTCCATCTCAGAATGATGGTGCCCTCAAGTAAAAAACTAATTTTTTTTCCCTTGCTATTTGGGGATATTTAAGTGAATCTGAATTTATGATTGGATTTTTAAAAGCTATTTAAGAATATTCTTTGATATAACTGGAAACAATTTAAACCTATTTTATCCTTAAAAATTCTTATGGCAGAATGCACACTTCTTCAAAATATACAAGGTTAAGTGTTTTTGTTTTATAACTCGGGAGACAATGTACAATGTGGTACTCTTTAGTTACATTAATGAAGCCCCTTGTATACTTTTACACATACTTAAACATTTTGTTTTGTAACAAAAATAATCAGTCTCTTTGAAAAAAATCAGTCTGCCCCCTGGAAATGTTTTGAGTGATAAATAAATAGGATTTCATTATTCTCCCGACTAAAACTTCAAGTTCAAATAAAATATGTATTTTTGAAAGTTCGAAGTATATCAAGGGCACAGTCTCAATGCCAAAGAGAGAACTCTGAATTAAATTCTTCATAGAAAGCAATCATATCATTCCAAGTCAGTATATAATTAAATCACTGCAGGACTATTATTATGCCCACATCTGTGTTAAGTGAATTGCTTTTCCAGTTTCCTAATGGACTAGTGGTCCAACTACTTAAATGGGCTACAAACCTACCTCCATTCAAACCATGCAATTCTTTAGGGGCTTCTCTGATTTGAGGGGTTAAATTGTTTTATTATACCTTTTGAAATGAACTGGGCTTCCATATGTGGTTTCTCAACTTCAGTGGGTTGTGAGAAGAGTGAAAATGTGTTAAGGATACCTAACTCAAAACTGGAGTTGGGAATACACGAAGGGCGAGCTTGCACACTTGCACTACCATTCCTCCCAGCTTGCCTGGTCCAGCAGGAAGGAAGATTTTCTCTCAGCCCAGCAACAGCAAGCTCCCCTCACCTGCAGCCAATGAGGGGCTGTCCCCACTTCCAGCTCTCATTTTCCTCCAATGAACTTTTGTTCAGAACATCCCTCAACTTCCTCCTTACCTCTATGAAGGGCCTGTCCCACTTTGTTCTTCGGACTTGCCTGTGGTTTGCCATAGTTTGCTTGTCCTGAACTGCAGTTTTTCTGCTGTTCCTGAAAAACCTCTTTTGGTGGTTGAATGGCTTACCTTTTTCTTTAAAAAGGTTGACGGAAGCCTTACACAATGCTCCTTATTAGAGCTATTTGAAACGACTCCCTTTTTAAAATATTCACATTAGTGTTTTTCTGGCTCTCTAGCATTATATTTGTAGCTGCTGCTGTGGCGACTGCTCCTCCTCCTCCTCCTCCTCCTCCTCCTCCTCCTCCCTCCTCCTCCTCCTCCTCCTTTCATGACTTTCGCTTGGGTCATGATCTCGCGGTTCGTGGGTTCCGGCCCCGCGTCGGGCTCTGTGCTGACTGCCAGCTCGGAGCCTGGAGCCTGTTTCAGTCTGTGACCCCCTCTCTCTCTGACCCTCCCCTGCTCACGCTGTCTCTCTCTCTCTCCTAGAAATAAATTAAAAAAACCTTTAAAAAAAAAAAAGATGTCTTTATAAATTTCCTTCAGGCCTTTAAATTTCTCCTGAATTTGAGGGATCACCAGACTATACAATGGTCTTCTGACACAATGGAACAGAAAACAGCTTCTTAAAAAAAAATTAAGATCCAGAGTTTTAATTTAGGCCACAGAGTTCAAGAAGTTATGAAGGGGTCCATTTTTATAGTTCTAGCAAAGCCCTATGTGTGGAGATGTACCACTACAAGTAAGCTTCCTTCCCAAGGGTAATTAAGTTAAAAGAACATTCATGGAAAAGAAAAAAAAAGATTATTCATGAAAACCGTGGTTTCCAAATTGGATGATTCTGTACCCTTAATGTAGGAAAAAAATTCTGTATTTATAGAGTCTCACAGCTCACCTTAATTGTTGCAATCTTTAAGCAGCCCAAATTTCTATATTATTTCATCTATCCCTTTTTCTATTTGAGCAGTCTTAAGATACTATGAGAGCACCTACCTATAGGTTCAGTCTGAAAGCTGGGTCGTTTTAGAAAATCATTGCGTTAAATAATGAGACTCTGCATCTTTCTCAAGTTGTCAGGGCCTGAAGATAGCTGTTCCATTGCAAGAGATTTTAAAACCTGGCTTAGGTTCTGAGCTGGCCCCTGATCAGACAGGGTTCTCCAGGCTGCCCATCCCCAGGGCACTTACAAAGTTGAAACCTGGAAAAGCTACTTCCTTGACTCTTGGAGAGCAGGGTATGGGAAGTTAACCCAGTTCTAAGTCTCTACTTCTATTTCAAGGTCTTTACCTCTGATCTGGAGTCCTACTGCTTGTCTGGCCTGATGAATGTGGTCCTTGCTCCCCCCACCTTTTTTTTATATATATAATAGATTTTATTTTTTATATCAGTTTTAGGTTCACAACAAAATTGAATTGAAAGTACAGAGAGTTCCCATATACTCCCTGCCCCACACTTGCACAGCCTTCCCCATTATCAGTATTCAGCACTAGAGGGGCCACATTTGTTACAAACGATGAATCTACATTGACACATCACTGTCAATCAAAATCCATAGTTTACGTGAGGGTTCATTCTTAGTGTTGTACATTAGGTAGGTTTTGACAAATGTATAGTAATGTGTATCTACCATTATAGGATCATATAGAAAAGTTTCACCGCCCTAAAAATCCTCTGTGCTCCACTTGTTCATCCCTCCCTCCCTCCTAACCCCTGGTGAGCACTGATGCTTTTACTGTCTCCATATTTTACCTTTTCCAGAATGTCATATACTTAGAATTATTCAATATGTAGCCTTTCCCCCAACAGACACATGAAACGATGCTCAGCATCCCTCCTCATCAGGGAAATACAAATCAAAACCGTACTGAGATACCACCTCACGCCAGTCAGAGTGGCTAAAATGAGCAAATCAGAGGACTCTAGATGCTGGCAAGGATGTGGAGAAGCAGGCACCCTCCTACACTGTTGGTGGGAATGTAAACTGGTGCAGCCCCTCTGGAAAACAGTGTGGAGGTTCCTCAGGAAATTAACAATAGAACTCCCCTATGACCCAGCAATAGCACTGCTAGGAATTTACCCAAGGGATACAGGAGTACTGATGCACAGGGGCACATGTACCCCAATGTTCATAGCAGCACTCTCAACAATAGCCAAAACATGGAAAGAGCCTTAGTGTCCACCAACTGACGAATGGATCAAGAAGACGTGGTTTATCTATACAATGGAATACTACATGGCAATGAGAAAGAATGAAATCTGGCCATGTGTAGCAACATGGATGGAACTTGAGGGTGTTAGGCTGAGCTAAATAAGTCAGGCAGAGGACAGATACCACATATTTGCACATATAGGAGGATTAGGAGGAACTTAATGGAGGACCATGGGGGAGAAGTAAGGGAAAAATAGTGGGAGAGAGGGAGGGAGGCAAACTATGAGAGACTCTTGAATGCCAAGAACAAATTGAGGGCTGATGGGGGTAGGAGGGAGGGGAAAGGGGGTGATGGGCATGGAGGAGGGCACTTGTGGGGATAAGCACTGGGTGTTATATGGAAACCAACTTGACAATAAACGATTTATAAGTAAATAAATAAATAATGCGTAGCCTTTCCAGATTGGCTTCTTTCACTCAGTAATATGCATGTAAGTTTCCTCCATGTCTTTTCATGACTTGATAGCTCATTTCTTTTTAAGCACTGCATAAATATTCCATGTCTGGATGTAGCATAATTCATATATTCACCTACTGAAGGACATTTTAGTTGCTTCTAAGTTCTGGCAATTATGACTAAAGCTGTCGTAAACACCCATGTGCCATTTTTCACATACACATGTCTTCACCACATTTGAGTAAATATCAAGGAGCACGATCCTTGGATTCGAGAGCAAAAGTATGTTTAGTTTTGTAAGAAACACCCAAACTGTCTCCCAAAGTGGTTGTGCTGTTTTGCATTCCCACCAGCGATGAGCAGGAGTCCCTGGTGCTCCATTATCTGCACCAGCATTTGGTGTTTGTCAGTGTTTTTAGTTTGGGCCGTTCTAATAGGTATGTAATGGTATCTCATTGTTTTATATTTGTTTACCTCTTGCTGGTGCATATTCCTGGCTCCTCATTACTTCTCTACTTTTCCTCCCTGCTCAGCTTCTAGACAAATAGTTCTCAAAGCGTGGTCCCCAGATCGACAACAGCACCTAGGAACTTGTTAAAAATGGAGTTTGGGGACCTAGCCCAAACTACTGAATGAAAACTCTGTATTTTAACAGCCCTCCAAGTTATTCTGATGCAAGCTAACATTTGAAGATGCCATTCTAGACCTGTACTGTTCAACATATGATAACCTCCAGGCATATGGAGCTATTGAGCTCTTGGGGTATGGCTGGAATAAATTATGATGTCCTGTAAGTGTAAAATGCACCCCAGATCTTGAGAACTTAGTGTGAAAAAAGATAAAGTAAGATATCTTGTTGGTAATTTTTATATTGACAACCTTGAAATTAAAATACTTTGGATATATTGGGTGAAATAAAATATATTATTAAAATTAATTTCACCTGGGGGTGCCTAGGTGGTCCAGTCAGTTAAGCTTCCGACTTCAGCTCAGGTCATGGTCTCATTGGTTTGTGAGTTCAAGCCCCACATAGGGCTCTGTGCTGACAGCTCAGAGCCTGGAACCTGCTTCGGAATCTATGTGGGTGTCTCTCTCTCTGCCCCTCCCCTACTTGTGCTCTGTCTGTCTCTCAAAAATAAACATTAAAAATTTTTTCAAAAATTAATTTCACCTGTTTCTTTTTAGCTTTGACATAGGTTTACTAGAAAATTCTGAGTTCCATTTGTAGCTCTCATTGTATTATTCTAGGCCGTAAGTCTGCAAACTACAACCTGTGGGCTACATCTGGCCTACTGCCTGTGTTTCTATGGCCCATGAGTTAAGAATGGTTTAAATTTTTTTTTAATGTTTTTTTTTTTAGATTTATTTCTGAGAGAGAGAGAGATACACACAGCGTGAGCAGGGGTGGGTCAGAGAGAGAGAGACACACACAGAATCTGAAGCAGGCTCCAGGCTCTGAGCTAGCTGTCAGCACGGAGCCCGACACGGGGCTCAAACCCACAAACCGTGAGATCATGACCTGAACCAAAGTCAGGCGCCCAACCGACTGAGCCACCCAGGTGCCCCAAGAATGGTTTTAAATTTTTAAATGGGGGTGCCTGAGTGGCTCAGTTGGTTGAGCGTCCGACTTCGGTTCAGGTCATGATCTCATGGTTCGTGGGTTCGAGCCCTGCGTCGGGCTCTGTGCTGACAGCCAGCTGGAAGCCTGGAGCCTGTCTTCAGATTCTGTGTCTCCCTCTCTCTCTGACCCTTCCCTGCTCACGCTCTCTCTCAGAAATAAAAAAAACATTTAAAAAAATTTTTTAAATGATTGAAAGTAAATTTTACAAAAGAATGATATTCCATAACATGTGAAAATTAAATGAAATTTAAGTTTTATTGTCCATAAATAAAGTTTTATGGGAGTGTGGGTACATTCATTTATATTTGTATTGTCTGTGGTTGCTCTTCCTCTATAGTGGAAGAAAACTAGCTGTGGCAAGAACCCTATTGCCTACAAGTCTAAAGTATTTACTATCTGGTGCTTTCTAGAAAATACTTGCTAAGCCCTGTTCTAAACTGTCAGCTTCTACATACTGTCCAGGAGAGGACCCTACTTTTAACTTGCCCCTATTCTTTGTTCCCAACCTTTGTTTAGCTTTTAGGCCCTACGACCCAAATCTCAGTGGTGTTTTGGGGCTGCAAGATTTGATCTATGCATAATTTAAGCTACAAAGAGGTAGGCCAATAATGTTCTTGCCTTCCAGAACTGCACAAGGAACTATGGACCAAGCAAAAAGGAGCAGAGAGATGTTCAATAGCTTCTTTCTCCAAATGCAGGGCCTTGCTTCTTAAGGACGAGAGAACTTTGGATTGATAGCTCCATCAAATTGAGAGGTAAGCCTATGATTTAGGGCTGGCCCCTTTCTTTAATAACTCAGCAACACCTCTTGAATTAAAACTCTCACTCTCTCTGTGCAGCTTATGCCTACTCTCAGCCAGTGCACTTGGCTTCTGCAGCATCTTCTTCTGCCAGATATATTGTGGAAATTATTATGGTGATTTTTTCCACTTCAGTGAAGCAGACGTCTGGATCCTTTGTGAGCCTCTTGATCTTTATTCCCTACCACCCCCACCAATATGCAACCAAAGTCTTGTTGGCTCAATGAATCTTTATGGTCTCATTTTATAGAATCCCCAAAGAAGAGAAGTATGGCTGTGGTTTCCAGAATGTTAATTGATAACAGTTCTTGGCAACAGTGCTCTTCCTGGCTTTCGCTCTTTAACCTACTCCTTCCACCCATAAAAATATCATCATTCCTGAGTAGATTGGCACCAGTCTGAAGTTGCCCTCTCTCTCTTTCTCACCTCTCTCTCTCCTTCTCACTCTCTTTCTGTCTCTCCTCTCTTCCCCCAGCCCCACCCATAGGCCCTTCATTCCTTTTTTTCCTTGCTCTACTGATTATACCTGGACTATTTAACTTTCTAATATGAGCTAGTTTGTTGCATACTCCCTGAACATTGTAGTGATGTGAATAATCAATAATTAAAAGGTATTCCTCCCGATTTCAACCATACTTCATTGTTAAAGTTAGGGAAGGGTCTTGCATCTCTATTCATTTAAGAACTCTCGCCGCTAGTAGTCCGTTGTCTTTAGATCCAATAGCTGAGTTGAGTTTAGACCCTAGGCTGGAGTGGGAAGGGGCAGGAACCGTTTCACCTAGGTAAACCCTACACAAATCTGGCTTTTCCTGTCTACCTCATCTTAAATATGGGGCACAAGAGGGAAATCTGTCAGAGGGTTTCTATTGGAAAATAAGCTGGGGGATCAACTGGCCTAGTGTTTTATTCCAGCTTTTCTCCAGATGATCTCCAGATTTCTGGCCTTTACCTTCTCTGAGCTTCCCTTTTCTCATCTGTAAAATAAAGGGTCTGATAAATCACCCTGTAACATTCCTTCCAACTCTAAACTGTTCTGGTTTAGAATGTAGAAAAACTCAAGTTAATAGAACCATAGAATTTTTAAAATCTGGAAGTGCTCTTGGGGATCATTTGACCCAATCCTCAGATGTCCCAGATGAGGTTCAGAGAAGCACAAATCACAGAGCTGGTGGTGCCAGGGCTGGCTCTAGAACTCATGTTTCCTTAAAGGAGTGCCTGTTGGAGAAACGGACATTTATAAAATCATGGTCATCTAGAACTGAAAAACAAGGTCAGTTATTTGGTATTATATAGGCTAGACCAAGTCACTGGTATTGAAATTTTCCACTTTTTTATGCACAAGCATAAAAGGAGATATTTTTTAAGGAGAACATTCTCTCTTCTCCTCCCCATGGTTGTACTCTCCTTCATCGTCCCTGAAACTTTTCCACTTTTTAATGAGTTGTGTTGATATTTTTATCGATGTCCTTACCTAACTTTGTTTTTGTGAGTTCAGTAAGTTCTACCAATCATGGAGCTGTTTTTGTGATTGTACAGATAAAATCCCTGAATAAACAGTAGTTAGAGGGGGCTTGTGTGATCTGGTTTTGTCTGGTCATCTGTATGGTTACTGCATTTTTGTAATTTAGGAGAAAGGAGGATTCCATCTGATAAACTCCGGTGGAAGACTATAATCTGTACTAGTCAGAAATGCTAGATGATCTTCAAGGGCTAAGGGGATTGTGGTGATGTGGCTTGCAGGTCACCTCACTGGATATTAAGATCAAACCCTGCCTGGAGAGTTCAACTGTTTCTGTTTACCCGGTACTCCCAGCCTCATACACCCCATCTTGATTATTTACTTTTGTTGTTTGAGCTTTCTTTTTGGCTTTAAGAAAATGTCACACATTGAGGGAAGGGGTGTTGCATGGGTCATGACTTTGACATAGTCTCTGGCCAGTGCACTATTAGAAAGCACTTTCAGGAATTCGTCATGCTGGGAGCAGTGACTAAAAAAACTCAACTAAAAAAAATACATACATTTTATGTTAATTTTCACTTCTTTCTTAAGTATTTTTTTTTCACTTTGCAAGGATAACAACTGCTTGTAGAGAGGTTAAACAATATAGAATAGGTTAAAGAAAAAAGAAAAAGCCCCTAGAAATCCCATCATACTGTCAAAGCCTTCAGTCTCTCTCCTCCATATATATGCGTATACTCATGCATGAGTGTAATGGGAAGCACATGTCATACTAATTTTTGTCCCCACAGCACAAATAGAAACAATGGGGCATAATTTAATATGGTAGTGGTAAATAATATCTCCATAAAATGGTGCCCAAAGATCTTTAGTTTTGGGGCGCCTGGGTGGCTCCGTTGGTTAAGTGTCCAACTTCGGCTCAGGTCATGATCTCACGGTTCATGTGTTCGAGCCCCGTATCGGGCTCTGTGCTGACAGCTCAGAGCCTGGAGCCTGCTTCGGATTCTGTGTCTCCCTCTCTCTCTGACCCTCACCTGCTCACACTGTCTCTCTCTCTCTCAGAAATAAATTAAAAAGCAAACAAAGAAAAAGATCTTTAGTTTTAGGTTCAATCCTGATAGTTAAGATAAATTCATGCACTACCACATTCATGTACATCTTTGTGTGTGTGTATTTTATTACATTTAGGATGGTTATAAAAAATTTCTACCCTTTGGGGCTTCTGGCTATTACCTTGCTTTTTTTATTATAAAAGACATAGGGATACATTGTGATGTGCACCTGCCATTTTCACCAGACAATATTTTATGGAGATCTTTCTATATGTGGACTTAGAAGATTTTATATGTATACACACATGCACATTTGTAGTATATATTATATATACATTATACATTATATAATTGCATATAATATGATATATATTCCTTTGAAATATCCCCTTATGCAAATGTTCTATAATTTATAATTAATCCTCAAATGTGTTTTATTTGATTATAAAAGTAATATATGCTTGGTTTAAAGCATTTTAAAACACTACAGAAATATGCACTACAGAAATATGCAAAATAAAATGTAAGTTTCTTCCCCCTAATTTCTCCACTCCCTTCTAAGAATATCTACTATTAATAGTTTGGTATGTATCCTTCCAGACTTTTCTTTGAGAGAGAGAGAGAGAGAGCAGTCACGTGTGTGAGCTGGGGAGAGGCAGAGGGAGAGGAAAAGAGAAAATCCTAAGTAGGCTCCACACCCAGCGCAGAACCCGACTTAAGGCTTGATCCCATGACCATGAGATCATGACCTGAGCCAAAATCAAGAGTTAGACACTTAACCAACTGAGCCACCCAGGCACTCCACTCCAGACTTTTTTATTTGATACAAACAAAAGTAAACAATATGGTTTTTTATTTTTTACAAAAATGAGGTTATACCACAGTATAATATGATTCTGCAACTCACTATTTTCAAGCAACAATATATCATGAGACATTATCAAAGTATTTTATTTGTTTATTTTTTTATTTTGAGAGATAATGAGTATGAGCAGGGAAGGGTATGGGTCTAACTTTATTTTTTTCCCCAAATAGTTAGCCACTTCTTCCAACAGTCTTTATTGAACAATCTTACCACCACTGATTTTAACTGTGTAATTAATTTAGTGTATACTAATTTTCCAAACACTTGAGTCTACTTTTAGACTCCATTGTGTTCCCTTGATCTGTCATCTACCTGTGTCAATAACACAATGTTTTAATTTCTGTAGCTTAAAGATATTTTCTAATATCTGATAGGACTACTCCTTTATTTTTTTTTATTTTAACATTTATTCATTTTTGAGAGACAGAGATAGAGTATGAGCAGCAGAGAGGCAGAGGGAGAGGGAGACACAGAATCTGAAGCAGGCTCCAGGCTCTGAGCTGTCAGCACAGAGCCTGACACGGGGCTCAAACTCACAAACTATGAGATCATGACCTGAGCCGAAGTTGGACACTTAACCGACTGAAGTCACCCAGATACCCCAGGTTTTTTTATTTTAGAGATAAAATAAGCCTCATGCAAGGCTTGATCCCATGACCCTGGGATCATGACCTAAGCTGAAATCAAGAGTTAGACACTCAACCGACTGAGCCATGCAGGTTCCCCTCCACATGTTTTTAAATTGAAGTGAATAACATAAAATTAACCTTTTTTTTTTTTTTAAAGTAGGTTTAACACCTAGCATGGAGCCCAACGCAGGGCTTGATCTCAAGACCCTGAGATCAAAACCTGAGCTGAGATCAAGAGTTGGATGCTTAACCAACTGAACCACCTAGGTGCCCCAAGCTAAACATTTTAAAGTTCACAATTCAGGAGCATTTGGTACATTCACGTTGTTGCACAACCATCGCTTCCATCTGGTTCCAAAACATTTTAATTATCCTAAAAAGGAAACTTTATACTCATGAAAGTTTTTTCCCAACCCCCCCCCAACACACGGATTTTTAACACAAAAAACTGAACTTTTATTATAAAATCCTAGGCTTCAAGTCACTGGATTCTATTCTTGGAATCATTATTGCACTATATGCTAACTAACATGGATGTAAATAAAAACAAAAAATCCCAGGCTTCAGATCTACCATGTATTAAAGAAGCTTAAAAATCCAAGGCCAAGTTCAGAATTATAAAGAAGACTTTCCTTTCATTTATTTTATTATTACTTTTGTGTGTGTGTGTGTGAGGGGGCGGGGGGCACAAGTGAGCAAGGCGCAGGGAGAAAGAGAGGGAGAGAGAGAGAGAAGCAGGGCTCATCCAAAGTGGGGCTTATGTTTTTTACCCAAAGCAGGGCTTGTGCCAACCCAATGTGGGACTCAAACTCAGCAACTGGGAGATGGCCTGAGCTGAAGTCAGATACTTAACGACTGAGCCACCCAGGTGCCTGAGAAGCCTTTCCTGATTGAGGCCATTCCTCAGCCGCCTCTGTACCCCCAAGTTTACCTCCGCATCCACAGTAGCCCAAGACTCAACTTGGATTCGTTTAATCTACTGCTAAATTGCTCTGTGATTTTTCTTAAGCATCTGTGACTTGTGTTATGTCTCCTAAACCACCTTGTAAACCTGCTACTTTTTTTTTTTCCTCCAGTCCACCCTCCTAGCATCTGGCACTGGCTTTACACAGTCATGGTCTCATTAAAATATTGTTGATTGATTATTATCAAAACTTCCATATTGGACTTAGTGAGGTGTCAGGAGTTTAGAGCATGATTTAAATGGGAATTAAGAGGGAATTCAACATACAGCGTTTTACTTCCTGTGCTTGGGCACAGAGAGAGGGAGACACAGAATCCAAAGCAGGCTCCAGGCTCCAAGCTGTCAGCACAGAGCCCAATGTGGGTCTTGAACCCACAGCCAAGCCGTGAGATCATGACGTGAGCTGAAGTCGGATGCTCAACCAACTGAGCCACCCAGGCGCCCAGAATCCCTGAAAAATTCTTACAACA